ACTGTAGGATAAGCACTTGACTAGTAACCACAAGCTCAGTGGTTCAAATCCACCAAGCCGCTCCTTGGGAACCCTATATAGGGTCACTATGAGTTGGAACTGACTTGATGGCACTTCATAACAACAACAACAACACAGCTAATATGATGGTGTAGCTAAGCATTCTGGCTCCAGAGACCATACTTTTTAATCACTATATTGTAAGTCTTCTATGTTATAGCACTTTCCATTGCCCCAAATTGTGTCCTCTGGCCAGCCCTTGCTTTATAGCAGGGGTGTGGGGAACCTCTGGCCTGTGGGCCATATAAGGCCCTCAAAATTAAGTCAGTTCTAACTCATAGCTACCCTGTATAGGGTTTCCAAGGAGTGGCTGGTGAGTTTGAACCGCCGGCCTCATGTTGTTGTTGTGAAGTGCCATTGAGTCGGTGCCGACCCATAGTGACCCTGTATAGGGTTTCCGAGGAGCAGCGGTTGAGCTTGAACAGCCGACCTTGCAGTTCAAACAGCTTTGCTGTCTGGCGCATTAACCCACAGTGCCACACCAGGACTCGGGCCTCGCATTAGGGGTGAGTTCATTAAATGTTTGACCAAGTACAGTAGGCTAATTTTTAAGTTGATAATTTTGTATGACCTGCAGAAAAAAGGTTCCCCACTCCCTGCTCTAGAGGAAGCTAAGTGAGTATTTTGCTTTGCCAACGCAGGCCAGACAGACAAAGGGATGTTGAGAATGGGTATTGGGTAACAGCATGTACCTCCACTGAGAAGATATCTCTTTGTAATGTGTCCGGTTGGTCTTACAGTCACAGTTGTGGCCTAATTAAATGGGAACAGGTTCCTTAGAATTGTCCTGCTTGCAGTCGTTAAATGGTGTTTAAAATTCTTAAAACAATGTGGTTGACACTCCACAGAATATGCCAAATAGATTAGATAAAAATCCAGCTAGAAGCTTTTGTTGCAAGTGGCAGAAATCCGACTTGAACCAGTTCAATAAAAAAAAAAAAAAGGGGGGGGGGTGTTTGATGGCTTATACAACAAATCATAGGTTGTTGTTAAGTGCTGTTGATTCAGTTCTGATCCAAAACGATCCTGTATAGGATTTTCAAGGAGTGATTAGTGAGCTTGAGCCACCAACCTTGTGGTTCAAACTGAGTTTGCAGTTAGCATTAGTCCACAGCACCACACCAGGACAACTAAATTATAGGTTGTTGTTGTGAAGTGCCGTCGAGTCGGTGCTGACCCATATAGGTGCCGACCCTGTATAGGGTTTCTGAGGAGCAGCTGGTGAGCTTGAACCGCCGACCTTGCAGTTCAAACGGCTTTGCAGTCTGGCGCATTAACCCACAG